TGTGCAGCTCTGGCTCGTCCTGCAGAGCAAGAGCAGATTGTGCAGGGCCTGGCTCCCTGCAGCCCATCGACACCTGCAGGTGACACCTGTCTGTTAAAGCTTCCCTGATAGAAAGATTTGGGGGCTCTTGTCCCTGTCCTGGGGATGGCCTGAGTTTGAAGGAGCTGCTTTCCTGTTATGCTGTGAAATACGAGTGAGTGTTCTTAAACCTGCTTAATTTCAATACCCAGGGAAACAGTTAAACTCTTGGGAAACCTGTGCTGGCCTGAAAGTGCAAGATCAAGGTCCTGGTTTTGGTTTGTTCTGAGCTACCAGGGTGGGTGACAGCTCAGGGTCGGGGGCTCGGGCAGAGGAGCTGCTGCTGCTTTCCAGTACTCCAGCATGGGACTGGTCTGTATGGAAATGTGGTTTATAAATTGCATTAATGACCAACCTGCAAGCATGTGGGTGTGTGAAAAGCTGAATTCTGCACAAGTGGGCTGCTAGGAGCTTGCACACTGAGTTTAAGGCACTAGGTAGGTATGTGAGGAACAGGATTTGTGGTGTCCATGGCTGGTAACCCAAACCTGGTTCCAGTTGTACCTCAGCTCACTGGAGAACTCAGAATTATTTGGTTTTGGCGCAGAGGAGCAGCAGTGGTGGAAGATTTTGCCCTCCAGTGTTAGCATGGTGGAGCTGAGGTGCTGGCATGAGGCTGGCAGCACAACTGGGGTGACACAGCTCAGGTGGCACCTTGGTGCCATGTCCCGGGTCTGTGGTGTTCAGGGCGACTTGTGAGTTGAGTTAGCTGAATAGAGACCTTCTTCTCTCAGCGTGCCCACGCTTTTAGCCCTGTTTTCAGTCCCACTCTGGGACAGCAGCGTGGTCCCTGTGCCTGGACCACCTGGGACAGGTGTCAGAGCAGCTCCCACAGCCTGTCTCAAACCAGAGCGTTCTCCAGAATTTTGTGTGATAGACCAGAAGACGAGCTCTATTCCACCTGTACTGAGGGAAAGGAGCTTTCATGGGAGGCTGCCAGCCCCAGCAGGAGGAGGTGCTGGCCCCATAAACCCTGTCTGTCCCTGCAGGAGCTGGGCTGTCTGGTGTCCTCTAAATCTGCTGGCACACCCTGGTGTGCAGGGCTCAGCTGCCGTGCTGGCTGCACAGGAACAGCATCTGTTCCTTTTGGGATTGCATCAAGTGACGTTTCCCGTGGTAAATTGGGGTTTAAAACCCCTAGCCTTGGAACTGTGCCCTTCAGTAAGTGAAGCCAGATCCTGTGATGACTTTTCTGCCCTTTTTCCTTTCCTCTTTTTGCCTGTGGTTTATGGTGGTGTGTGTTGGGCTTAGTCCTGAACCCCTTTACAGTTCTGCTTGTCTGGTGAGTTCAGAGGAGTCTGGATTGCTGTCCTGCCTCTGCTGGGGTCTGAGGGAGCTGCAGGTTCAGGACACAGACCAAACCATGCTGCTTTAGCAGTGCTCCTCAAGCTACTCCTGATGTAACTTCAGCCTCTGTTTTCACACTCCTGTCTCCCTCCCACCTGTTAACTCATGCCCCCATTAACCACACCTGCTTGCCCAAAGCATCTGGGGGTAGGGCACTGAAAACCAGATTTATTTATTTATTAGCTACAGATGTGGATGCTTGGCTGTCAGTCCAGCTGAGCTGACACCAACAGTACCTTCTGTTTAGTCTTTTTTGGTGAGGAGGCTGCAGAGCTCCGGCCCTAAATGACCCAACCTAGTGCTCTGAAACACTTAAAGGCTTGAAATAAAAACCTAGCACTGCCAGGAATAGTGTTTTCTCCAAGATGGGCTCAGGAAAGCATAAGGATGCTGGTCTGTCTGGCAAGAGCTGCTAATTTAGAAATTGCCAGGTGAAAATGGCCAGAATCACTGTAACAGTGATTCCCTCCCTGCCCTGGAAGGGAGGAGAGCTCTGGTGACTCTGCCTCACTGGGGCTGAGGCGGCTGAAGTCTGCTCTCTTCCAGCATGTGCACTTTTTGATGTGTAACCCAGGACTAAATGTCATTAAGATCTCCCCACCAGGCAACTTGGCTGCCAGCTGAAGGGCAAAAATTAAATATCTGAGTTTAACCTGGATTTAGGCTTTTTGAGGGATTTAGCACTATTTTTTCCCCCCACTTATGTCCTTTAATTAAGATAAAACCTCTTGCAGCTGGTGTGAACTTTGGACATTTCCAGTGTGTTTGTTGGGAGGCTGTGTCCCAGCAGGGTGATGCTGTCCACAATCACCTGTGGCTGCTCTGGCCTGAGTTCCTGCCCCAGGTGGGCAAGGCTGAGCAGCAATGATGGGAACACAGGCGAGTCCTGGGTTGGAGGTTCTGCTGGTTTGGAGCAGGCAACAGAGCCGCTCCAACCTTTCAAGTTTCAGTAAAACTTGAAATGGAGCTCCAAGGTGTTTGGAGGCAGCATTTGCCAAAGCAAAACCCTTCCCAGTTTGTCCTTCACCAAGCTGCATTGGCACGGACAGGGTAAGCTTTAAGTTAGGGGAAGAACACCTTGACAGAATTCAATTTTTTATGTTACAGATTTTTGGTGTTGGAGCATGACTTTTCCTTGATTGGATTCCTTGATTCTTCCTTGGAGTTGCTCTGATAAAGACACTTCCATGGAATAGCTGCTCTCCTCACAAGTTTCCTTAATGAGGAAACTCAGCTTTGTGTATTTTAGCACTCTTTCAGGGTTGGCTGAAGTTGGGCAGGCAGTTCAGGCAGGAGGGGCTCAGAGGGAACCGCTGCTTTGTTCTGACGTGCAGTCTGCTCAAATGCTGCACACAAAATGTGTGGGTTTTTTTTTTTTTAAATCGTTTAGCAGGGACATTTGTTCTCAATTTCCCCTTTTTATTCTCTCCAGGAGGTTATGTCAAGTGAAGTTCAGCATACGAGCCAGCGTGACGGGGGAAAACATTTTTTGTTTGGTTTTGTGCTGTTTTGCCTGAGAAAAAGGCTGATGCTCTCAGTTCTCATGGGCTGTGCTGGGGTTTGTGTGGAACTGGAAAATGGAAAGAGATGGAGAGGCTGCAGATGGTGATCAGGGCATATGAGCTCCTGCTTGTGGAAAGCTCTGCCTTCATTAGATCATTAGCATTTTCCTTCCCTAATTTGTGCCCTGTTTGGTTTGGGGGATGTCGTGTCTGTGTGTCTGCTTGGGGTGCATGTTCTGTGCTGGTGTCCAGCACCTTTATCTCACAAGTGCCTCAACTGCTCCTTATAACCTTTAAGATTTTTTTGTTTTGTTTTTTTGCATTTTGAAGTTTTTGGCTGGTCTTTGTCATTTTTATCATAAATTAGCATAGCTAATTAGCAAAGCCTTGCACATGTTAGTTGTTAAAGAGATCTGGCTTAGTCAGTGGGCTGTCAGTGTAAAGCCAGAGAAGGTTTAGGCTGGATATCAAGAAACATTTCCTGACAAAAACGTTTGTAAAGCATTTGAGGGGCTGCCCAGGGTAGTGATGGGGCCACCACCCCTGAGAGGCTCTGAAAATGTGTGCAAGCAGCACTTGAGGGCACGGTTCAGTGGTGACCAGAGTGGTGGAGCTGGGTGGACAGCTGGACTCTGGCCACTCACAGGGGCCTTTGCCAGCCCTTGGTGACCCTGTTGGGATTGCTGGGTGGGTGTGGGTGACTTGGTGGGACATGGGTGTGGGTGACCCCATGGGATTGCTGGGTGGGTGTGGGTGATTCTGTAGGATTGCTGTCATGGGTGTTGGTGGTTCCATGGGATTGCTGAGTGGGTGTGGGTGACCCCATGGGATTTCTGACCTGGGTATTGGTG